TATAAAATTGGTACTTTAGTTACCGATGAAAACGGTAAGCGGCGATCGCTTTCTGTGCTTCAAGAGTGTCCAGAACCGTCAACACCTCGTAAGGACAGCAAGGGCAGTCTTCAAAGTCTTGGAGGATACATGTCTGATCCGCAGTTAGTTTCAGCTATTTATTTATCGCTAGATGATTATGGGGCAAAAACTAAGAACGTAGATCACTTCTTTGTTTATGTGCTTTTGTCCAAATTATGATCGACGGTTTAACTTCAACATTATTTCCAGGCATTTAACTGTACCGAATGGTAATGAACCTAACTGCAACCCAAATTATTTACCTGTATGATTTTTCTTCGTTAACTGAGTCTTTACACTTTTAGTTATTAAGCTGTTTTGAAGGAATAAGGTGGAAAAAGAGAACTTGTTCTAATTTTACTTTTTGAAAAGGGCAATCTACAGAAAAAGAAGTTATAAAATAGAGTAAGGCTTTGAGAAAGTTAAGGAGGATACGACAAAGATTTATGGATGAAAAACGAAGCTGCTTGTTTGTTTGTTTCTGATTCTTTTTTTTAGACTAGTTGGTTGATTTTTAAAACTGTCAGTTTGTAGAGGATTATTGTACTTATACATTTCATCTGAGTTACAAAATTTATAAGTTTTCAGAACTATGCTCTGCATCCGCCGCAAGGAGAGTCGACCGACATGCAAGTTAGTGATGGGTGAGTAAATTCTATTTGTGAACGCGAACGGTATTTATTTAAACCACTTTTAAAAATTTTTTTAATAAATAAGTGATAATACGTATTAATTTTTTTCGCTTGCTAGTAATTGTTAAAGAAACTTTTACAAATTTTACAGCAAAATATATGACGAACCTCCTAGTATTAGAAACTATGATCCAGAAGTGGGAAAACGCCCAAGTTTAGGTGAATTGATCGGAATTGAGCCAAAAGAAGTATATTTCTTCTTTTTTATTCTGTTAGTGCTGTTGCATAAAGTTATTGATCTTTTTTCATTCTATATCAGTGCGTAGAAAAACGTTAGTGTGATCTTGATTCTTCTCCTTTTACGAGCTAGAAAGGGTACTTCATAGAATAACTGGCTTAAGAAAGTCTCTGAAAGTAATGAACTATTAAAGAAAAAATATTGGCAAATAGTTAATATACAGGTATTTGTGCTGTTTTTTTGCTTGTCAGGATCCAGTTGAGCGTGAAAGGCTTCCTTCGACGCGGCTGGCTGCATGTATTCAGAAAGATGCCGATTCCAGCTCAGCGGATTCGATGAAACTTGAGAAACGTCTCGGCGGATTTGGTTGGATCACAGGAGTATTGATGCGCTGTATTCTTGGCATTCTTGGTGCTACTCTGTTTCTTAGGATGAGCTGGATTGGCGGACAAGCCGGACTATGTTTGTTTATAGCAAAAAATTTTGTTTTAACGAGAGCTCACGAAAAAAATCACGTGTAAGAATGGGTGTTTTATAGTGGTTGGTTTGTGCGTTATCGGAGTGTCATTTGTAGTCGCTATTCTAACAGCAATTTCAATGTCAGCTATTGCCACCAATGGAGAAGTTAAAGGGGGCGGGTGCTACTATCTTGTAAGTTTCATCTGCACCTATTTTGATCTGTAAATTCCAATTGTTACTTCAACGGCAAACCGGATTATTATTCAGATAAGCCGATCACTTGGACCAGAGTTTGGTGGTTCAATTGGTTTGATCTTTTATTTCGCCAACACGGTAAATGCATCGATGAACTGTGTAGGTTTAGCTGAGGCAATAGTGTACACATTAAATGAATACGATCTACAGCTGATCGACGGTGGAATCAACGACATTAGGCTTTATGCTTTTTGTTAGTTTTCAACATGAAATAACGTAAGAGGCCATTTTGCTGATGAGTTGATAAGTTTTTCATGTGAAATTAAACTGAGTGAAGCTTTGTTTATGCAACATTATCAGGAAAAAATGGCTGTTAGAAAATATTGTGGTTTAGTACTAATAATGACAGTTAATGGTGTTCTAAAATAAGAAGCGTAGGATGGCGATGAACCTAACTGCAACTCAAATTATTTACCTGTATGATTTTTCTTCGTCAACTAAGTCTTTACACTTTTACTTATTAAGCTCTTTCGAAGGAATAAAGTAAAAAAAGAGAACTTGTTCTAATTTTACTTCTTGAAAACGGCGAAAACGGAACGGAAGCAACAAAGCAGCATACAATTACTACATAATGCAAAAAGCTTCGTTTTTTGTATTATGCAGTAATTGCAAAAAGTAATGAAAACGGGTTATTCAAGTTATTGAAAAGAAAGATTGACAGCAACAAATATCTTAAAGAAATTCAGTAATTAAGTTATAGCAAAAAAAAATTTCTTTATTAATTTCTGAGACTATCTGAATATCTTGCTGATTATTACACGAAATCTTAATCGATTAATCAATTTTTTGCAGCTTTCTAGAATTCAAGTGAAACTAGGTCAATTTATTGTGATAGAATATTGTAATAGAAGATAATCATGATTCTAGTTCAACTTTGACTCATTGATAAAATTTACAGCAAACGGTATTCAAATATTTTAATGTAACATAAAAAAGTAACACTGAAAAAATATCTACTGAGTTTATTAGTTTGTTACTTTTTAAAAAAAAATGACTTTGAACAGAACAAAATAGTTTTGTTTTTGAGGCTGTTTCTTATGTAATACACGTCACTGCAAGTCTTGAATGAGGTATAGAAAACTTGTTTTAGGAAACTTTTTCAATTTGGTTTCTATAAATGCAGAATCTGACTTTGCCAATTCATTAAATCTTTTGTAATTTTTACACATATTTTAAGTGATATTTTAGATTCGCTTTTCTATGCGTGTGGCGCTCAGTGGTTATCTACGACTGTGAAATTTTATTGAGCTTTAGAAGTTGAAAATTACTCCATGCTTAAGCAGCTAAAATATTATTTTCTCTGATAAACCTGTTTTTTTACAGTACTTTGCTTAATGCTGCAGTGTATTATCTTTATTGGGACTGATTTCGAGAGTAAAACGCAGATTTTTTTATTGGTTTGCTTAATAGTGTCGTTATTAGCCCACATATTGGGCACATTTATGGCTCCATCGCAATTTCAGAGTTTCAGAGGAATTACAGGATATTCTTGTAAGTTTAACGTCTTTGAACAAAAGAAAAAATGTGAAGTACTGGTAATTTTTATGGCTTTTTGTGGGAGAAAGTTATTTGTTTCTTGTTTATTTGATGCATTAACAGCATCATTTTAAATTACACTTTTTTCATCACCGTCTTGACTCTTGACTGTCAAAATCAGTGTAGCTCTTTAAATATTCCAATTTTAGGGGCAACGGCAAAGGAAAATTTATATCCAGATTTCAGAAATGGTGAAACTTTTATAACTGTTTTTGGAATTTACTTCCCAGCTATGACCGGTATTATGGCTGGGACAAACATGTCTGGAGATTTAAAAGATCCGTCAAAATCAATTCCGAAAGGAACAATATTTGCTATTATTATTACTACTAGTAACATTTTCACAAGCATTTCGTCAACTTTATTCTCCTGCTTTTTAGACGTATTTAGAATTGAATACAAAGCTTTTAACAGTAATTAATAGCTTATTTTTTTATCTTTACAGTTATTTACACGTCGGCAATGGTTTTGCCGACAATTACAACAGTTCGAGACGCTTCTGGATTTTCTGCACCTGGTGAATTTATAGTTCTTTGACGGCATTTAATTTTTTTAAGATATTAGTTTCATTTTTATTTTACTGCAAAAAATATTTTTTGGTGAAACTTTCGCTTTGTGCACACTAGTATTGAACAATTACTTAGCTGTAATGATAACGATAAACCCGGTCAGTTGCAGATTTTTACTGAAAAAAACGCTTATAATGCAAAATGCAAATGTTTTTTAATTTCTAATTGGTTTAGTCTATCGTTTTGTTTTTTAATAGACTGCTGTTTGATTTACACAGTTTTCTTGCGAAAAATTTAATTTTGCACTGTTCATAATTCCTATTTTAATGGCACTAAATACTTTCACTTCGCATTGTACATGGCATATTTTGGTCGACTTCAGTTTTGAAACAAAATTCCAATCAAAACTAATAAGTTTGGACAGTGTTTCTTTTGAAATTTCAAAATCACGAAGAAAACATCTTTTTTTTTTCTGTTTTTCTTTTCTATCTGAACTTTTGCATCACTGAAGGAAAGAACATTTAAACAGTTTTTTCACAAAAAATTTTAACTTTTAAAATTCATAAAACGGACGGTGAAACGCGGCAGTCGTTTATGAAGAATGTCTATGAAAAGTAAGAAAATTATTCAATTCTGCGAGCCAAACTTCATACAACTGTTTCTTAGACACAAAAACATATTAACAAAATCAAATTGAACATTTTTACAGCGTTTTTTTCCACTTATAAAGAATATTTGTTGAAAAATTTATTTGTCACTTTGAAATGCTACAGTTAAGCAGTTATTGCGAATAATCAAATGCAAAAAATAAATGATTTTATAGATCTGTAAAAGTACTGTTTTTTATT